TATATATATATATATAAATATATATATATATATATAAATATATATATATAATATATATATATATATATATATATATATATACATATATATATATGTATATATATATATATATATATATATATATATATATATATATATATATATATATATATATATATATATATATATATATATATATATATATATATATATATATATATATATATATATATATATATATATATATATATAAATTAGAGGCCATGAAAACAATTAAAGGGCCCTCCCAACCATACATATATAGGCAAAGACTGCCTGGTCCGCAACTTTCCAAAAATAAATTTCAAGAGGAACCATTAAATCACAGAATAATAAAAAACATTGAATTAAAAAAATTAAAGTGATGTGCAATTTGCACAGTGCAAAGTATATCAATAACTGTTCTTGAAACAGCATGTTGAATTTAGAGGACGAAGATGCATATCTTTGAATGATCGCATCATACTCAAGGCTATCAAGTAGACTTTTTTTCTTCAATCATTAACATATACAACTCTAAGTGGTTATTCGACATTTTTTCAATCTTGTCTTGATTAAGTTTAATTTAAAAAACGATTTTTCACACTCAGCTTGTTTTACAGAAACAGTGCAGTACATATTATTTCATAAATATGATACAAATTGTCATAGGTTTTATCGTTGAGTCTAAATGCAGCAAGAATTCGTAGCAAACAAGATGGACACGATTCACATGCTCCATTAGTATGGTGATAACAGCTCTGTTTCATTTCATCATCCTTTCTATGTTGTCGTTATGCATTCTTTCTATGTTGTCGTTAAGGGCAAGGACAAATTTAAAATCTTATAGTTAGTGACAAATGACAACAGTTCGGCCTTCATTTTATCGACGTTGTCTGGTAAAAATTTGATAATGCTGTGTAAACTGTTTTTAGGAATTCCCTAAATGGCAATATCACCAAAGTTTGATGTATCAAAACATGTCCATATATAGTTGTCGATGTGAAGTGAAACGTGAATCAAGACTTTGGACTACCTGATCCATCACCGCATTGTAAGTGTGAATTCTGTAGTGTTCCAAAGCTTTAGATTTGTAACATTTGTCAACTGTACGTTCATCTAACATCATTATTGCCTTTCGCTTCCGTGTAACTGGTAGTTCTATGTTCATTTCTAAAATGGTTTCAGTTCTCTGGATGATGCTTGTGTTTGCCACCCGTAAAAATTGAAGAGCGTTATTATAAACAAAAAGTCTTGAATGACATTTAATTCAATTACGGCCCTCTCCACCATCTTAAATGGAACCAATACATTTAATTCACGAGTTGGCACATATATTAAAAGTGGTTCCACTTTTTCAAAAATTCGCAGATAGGTAAAGACAGTCAAAATGGTGTCAAATTTTTAGGAATGGCATAAGCAATGTCTTAAATTCATGACGTGTCTTTGCATCAAAATTTTCTGACTCGCCTATACATGACAGACTTAAAAATAAATTGGCAAACACTGTTGAAGATGGTTCAGAAAGTATTCCGAATATTGCCGTTGCAGCGTTTGATTTACCCGACCACCTTGTTTCAGCAAGCAATTTCAACTTTTTCTTATCCATAACAATTTGTGTTTCAACAAGTTTAATCCATTTTGCCATTTGCTTATGTGACACTTTTATGAATGTTGAAACATTATGCAAAAGCTTAAAAAACAAAACAGCTTGAATGTAGCAACTGGTTGCCTCCTTGACAACTAAGTTAAGAACATAAACATAACACCAAATATGTACATGCTGGTCTGCAGCTTCTGTCCGTTATACTAGCCATAATAACTTGAAGCACCATCAGTGCTGTCCGATAAGCAGTATTGAAAATTAAAGCCAACCCGCTGTAGCGTCAAATTTAAGAGAACAAACAAGCCTTGGCCTGTACCGTCTTTACTTGGTACAATAGAAAGCCGCCGTTCATGCACATTAGTATCTAAAACATAGCGAACCATAATGCTGAATTGGTCTATTGCAGATATATCTTGTGCAGAATCAACTTGTAAGGAGTACACTTTTGCTTTGGACACTTCCATTGCAATCTGTTCCTGCATTATATTTTTCATAATTTTGAGAAGCATTGACTTAGTAGTCTTACTTAAAAACATAACCAGAGCACTAATACTGCCGCAACCTTTACTGCCGATTTTACCTTGACGCTTCATTTTTCTATTCTTTTGGCTGATTTCTCTTGACACATAGAGAGATGAGAAGCTGAAAGTGGGTCATATTTGTCCAAGAGCTGCACCAAAGCCAAAATAGTTCAATGATGAGTCTTCATCATTGTCCAATGAAGAATGAAATAGCAATGTTTGCATTACATAAATGTTTAGTGATATCAATAACTCGAGAAAGTATTTGTTTCCTCATCAGTACTTCATCATTACGTTTTTTTGTTGCTGTACTACAAAATCTGTCAAAGTCTTGATTATTCATTACACAAATGTAATCAAAAACATGCAAATGTTC